TTTTTTTGTTTGCATTAAAAGGAGTGTTTTGGAAAACCAAAGACAAAGTCTTTTTGTAATTTCTGAATAGACAACGGTAAAAAAACACTCAGGCACGGGCAGAACATGCAAATTCCACACAGGAAGGCCACAGCTGGATTCAAACCCACGACCATGGCACTGTGAGGCGGACGTGCTAACCAGTCAATAACTGTTCCACCATGGAACTTGTTTGAATGGCCAAAATGACCACAAACAGGACACTTTTTTTTTCAACAAAAAATGGCAGGCTTGTGTCTTTTTAGGTATGGATTTTTAAGGCTTTTTGTGGGTCTATGATTTGGGGCCTTCAAAATGCTACGTTTTGCGTGCCACCGGGCAATTGTTTATTCTATAGACTGTCACACATCAGGTCTCCTGTCAGGATGTATAAACAGTAGTTTAATCAGTCTTTTAGGCTGTTGCAAAGTGAAGCACATCATCTCAATAGCAGCATGTGTTAGACCATAATCAGAGGCTTAATGTGTTTATTAGACACGGAAAAGGTTAAGAGACAGGAGGCGGTATGCTTCAGTGGTGACACGTGACACTTACTGGATGTGGAGGAGTGATGAATGTGATTTCATTGCACACATTAACTTCCCAAAGACCCATTTTAATTTTTTCCATAATGTGATCTGGCATTTGCCTGTCCCCAGGCCTAATGACTTTATTTACTGTAAAGATGTATTCATGTGGATTTATTCCTAATCTTGAAAACAAGACAAAAACGTCCAGTGGGGCGCTTGAACTGGTTGTCATAATAATTCATAGATGGTTTGCGACTGATTGGACTGTAAATAAGTGCATGAGTAAACATCTTTTTTGGGGCTGTATTTGTACGATGATATACTGTAAATGTGATATCCCAGTTCAAGGATTTTGCTTTGAACAATAACACGTTCACCCACTGGTGGGTCGATCTGGTCTGGTTTAGACGCCAGGGCCTCATTGTCAAGAATGTGCACGTGCCATCCATGTTTTTGGTTTTACTGGGCGGCAAGGGGCGGCAGCTGCCACCCTCACCAAGAAGGTGCAGGGTTCGATTCCGGCTCTGGCCTCCCTGCGTGGGTTTTCCCTGGGTACTCCAGTTTCCTCCCACATTCCAAAATAGGATAGGCTCCAGCACCCCCGCGACCTTTGTGAGGATAAAGCGTATCGGAAAATGGATGGATGGATAGATGGATGGACTTCAAGGCTGAATTTCTTGATCATTTTTGAGCAGAGGTGTGAAAACTCAGATTTGTCAACGGTCCTCCCCCGAGTTATGACTGTGAACCCTTAAATGTAAGAACATTTCATGTGCACAACAAATTGCTGGATAACTAGTTTATAAATCAAAAGCCAAGAAAAAAATGTTCAACTATCATAAAATGTATTTTAAAAAGGGGATCAGTAACAACAACAAAACACTTCCAGTATCTCAATGTGATAAAAAAATGAAGTTCATTTGTAATTTTGGCACTTTGGCAAGAAACATAACACAGAAGTCAACACACATTATTTGCTTTCGTCAGCCACATTAAATGATGTGGAGGAACCGATTTGGCCCCTGGCCTTGATTTTAACACCTGTGCTTTAGAGCCTCTTTTCAAAAAAGTGTCCCCTTCACTGCACAAAGGCCTCTCCACACACCCGCTACTCTCCCTCTGTGTCTTTCTTATAATGACTTCCTTCATCCAGACTGCAGGCGTGAGGCAATTATGCAAAAAGGCGTGTCCGACTTGGTAATGTGATGATAAGAGCAAGACAGCTATCTGCTTCCTGGTCCAGAGACAGAGAGAGGATGTGGCATATCCAAGTTGGGACGCTCTTGTTAAAATTACTCTTGACATGGCTTACTATTAGCACACCGTTAAGAGTTCAAGGACAATGGCAGGCCAGTTTGTTTTTTTTTTTCCTTCTCATTTGTCTGCCAGAACCCCTCGTTAAAGGCTGGAGCCGACTCCCTACAATGACCGCAGAATATTGATGGGATGCATTTGAAAGAGTCATTTAGCTGAATTCATAATTCCCCCTTTTTTGTGCGCCTTGGATATTCATGGGCAGCGGAAGGCCATTTGACAATCCAAATTGACAAATAATCTCTTTATGTTTCTGCGCACACCTTGTTGGATTGTACTCAGAAAGCACTCAGTCTTAAAGGATATGTACTATACCATTCTTGCCTCCATTTAAAGTGGTTCCCATACCTCTCAATAAAACCTTTCTGACACCTTTTAGTCAAACTTCACCAAGGCTCAAGTATTACAGAACGCTTAAAAGCGACTTGTCATGCTCTGGTTGAAATCACTCACTTTTGGAGGTGCTGTTCTCTGTCACACAAATGCAGTGGATGGCTTTGGTTACCATGATGCAACAGAGCAAGGGATACTGATTGTTGACAACTTAGCAAATTTGTCAGTGACCAAATACCCCGACTGCCCGTTCCCACCTGCTGATAATTTCGCAAAATATGTAATTCGAGGATTCAAGGACTTTTATTTTCATAGCGGCACACATTTGATATGGCACAGACTACGACCCCTGATGTCTCAGGACAGCCAAGCAAGTCCTTGTAAAAATGAAAATAGAACAAGGTTATTTTATACGTGACAATAAGATATTAGATGTGGAGAGCTGAAGAATAAAGTGTTCAACATGAAGGGAGCATGCGGGTGCTTGCGAAATGAAACTGCTTCTCAAATTGTAGTACTGCTCTCGATGCTCCATAGCCTTCTGCCTGAGGGGAGATGTTGGAAGAGGGTGTGTGCGGGGTGGGTCGGGTCCTTGATGATGCAGGGAGTCCTCTTTCTGCGAAGTATACTGAAGATGTCTGTGATTGTGGGGAGGCTGTTGATGCTGGTGCTGAGGATGCTCTCCACCACACCTATGTAGAAGCTCCTCAAGACACGCCTCTTCACTGTAACACATCACAGCTTCTGGGGGAAGTAGAGACGCTGGTGAGCGTTCTGTAGCAGACAGGAAGTGTTGCGGAGAAGAATGGCACATTTGGTGAAATTCATAATAGCTGGCTTACAGAAACATTTTTGAAAATGGATAGCCACAAAAGATTGACTTTGTCATTTAATTTCACACTCACACACACTCCAGAGACCAAACGATTTGTATACAAGCTATTATGTAGTCACTTTTCCGTAATATGCCGCCTTTAAATGATGACCACCATTCAAAAGTGTTCCTAATTCCGCCATTATTGCATATGATTCGACTTCATCAGGGCTCAGCGAGAATCCGTTCCATCCTGTCCTTGTGAAAAATGGCAAATGACTCCCGTGCCAATACCACAAGTCTGGCCTTGATTCCCGAGGATGCATTAGTGCATCAATTGCCACCTGCCATCAAGATGTGACACTTCCGTTACAACAATGCTCTGCGGTCTATAAAAATAAATAAATAAATAAATAAAAATATCATAATGCACTCGGGCCACCTGGAGGCCCTAACAGATGCCACATCAGCAATAACGGCCAACAAACTGGGCGAACAGATTGCGGCTCGGTCTTCTTCAGCGTCACTTCAGCAGTGTTCCAAAGAAAATGACCACCCTGTGAACTGGCAATGTTACTCTCAAATTGGCAGCAGCTCAGCCCCACTTAACACGTGAAAGGAGACATATTACGTCCACCCTACTGAATTTGAAGAGAATTACAATGAACCCCATCCAGCACGGGTAACTTTCATATGCGCATTTTATTTCCTGTGGTGCCCATCCCAGCTGTTCAGAAATATCACTGAATTTAAAGAGAATTACAATGAACCCCATCTAGCACGGGTAACTTTCATATGCGCATTTTTTTTTCCTGTGGTGCCCATCCCAGCTGTTCAGAAATATTGAAAAAGTCACCTTTTTGTGTGCGTGTGCGTGTGCGTGTGTGTGTGTGTGTGTGTGTGTGTGTGTGTGTGTGTGTGTGTGTGTTTTGTGCACTTTATGTTACAGTCTAAGATGGCACCAAATTCCCTCTGGACCAGCAAAAATTGTTGTGGTCTGTTACCAGATTTGCTGGCTCCAGGCAGCTTTATTTGCGGTATAAATTCAAAGAACGAGTGCTAATTTCTACTCTAGCTTTGAACCAGCACTGGAAGGAACTCAGTCTAAAAGTACTAGACTTGATTCATGACTGGCTTTCTTCACTTAGAACCAGTGAAAGCTCATTTCTCTCTGAGTTGCGCAGGTTCGTGAGTTTGTGTGCACGCAGCGAATGTTGATTTTTTTCAGGCAGGGTTGGTTCAAAGTCGCAAAAAGTTGCAAGGTCGTTCACGCAAACAATTTTTCGACAAAACCTGTTCCTCGACAAAACCTGTTCCTCGACTATTAAAACTGTTGGCGCACGTCTGGTGAACATTTTTGCGACCTTGAACGAACACTGACAAGAAATCAACATTCGGGCCGTGCGCTAACCCTCTCCACCGAGTGAGATACGGGCTTCAGAGTTTGTGCTCGGCACCATACAATAACATATGGCTCAGTAGATAAAATTTTGAAAATCAGGCCCAAAGAGCCAGTTCATCTTAGCCACATGACATTTGGTAAGCTTGTTTTATTTATCAAGTAGAGCAAACCAAAAACAAGCAAACAAACAAAAACAAAAGCATGCTGCAGAATTCAAAGAAAATCTGCCATTTCTGGTTCAAAGCAGTTAAAGGTAATTTTGGCCATTTCAAGTTTTACTGTACATCAAAGACAAACTCGTCCTCCAGATATTGTCCTCTTGCTAACAAATTTCTACCTTATATATTCGACAGATGGTCAGCACTAAAATGAATACAAATTGAGTTTTTTTGTTATCGTGTGTAGGTGGAGCCCGGTGGGAAAGTTTGATGACTCGTCATAAAACCGATGCAATAACTGCTTCTTGGTTCGGAATATTTGCTATAAAAATGTAGCCATCAGATGTCCAACTAGTGAGCTTCTTTGTAAACACTATTGATTGTCATTATGGCTTAAAAGCCTTGCTTTCATTTTCTCTGTCATCTTGCAGATCAAGACTGAGAATCAGAGTGACTGCAGTAAAGGAGGTGAGAAAAAGCGGACCATGGCTGAGGGGATGATTGCTTCTCAAAGTGGTAAGCAGAAGTTAGATGCTGTAATAATAATAAAATCCACCCTCGGTGATATAATGCTCCCCCACCCCACCCCCAACTTGTGGAGCCTTTTAAGCGAACCAGAAAAGGACAGGTGTTAAACTGAGGTCAGACTGACTCACTTGCTTCTTCTTTATTCACTTGCCACATCTTGAACTTCAGCTTACCAAAATGCTCCCCCCCCCCTCTCCCTTTTCATACATTTGCCACACCAGTACTCAGTATAAAATTACTGCTGGTGCCTTTTTTGGACCCGCAGCACTTCGCCATGAAATCATGAGATGATGGGATTTCTTGTATGCAGTCTGACTTCTGATAATGGTGTTTTAGAATGTTACAACTGCAGCATGCGGCACTAACATTTTGTTCCATGATGCAAACCCAATTCCAATGAAGTTGGGATGTTGTGTTACACATAAATAAAAACGGAATGTAACAATATTCAAGTCATGTTCATCCTTCTTATATTTGTGTTTCATTGAATACACTACAAAGATATTAATGTGAAAACTGATAAACTATTGGTTTTAGTAAATAATCTCAAACTTCAAATTTTATGGCTGCAACATAAAAAGCCAGGGCAGGTGGCAAAAATGAGAAAATTGACGAATGCTCATCAAACACCTGTTGGGAACATCCCATAGGTGATCAGGCTAAGTAGTTAAAACTCTACTATGCAAAAAAACAAAAGCCATTTATCACCCACACCCCAAAATGCCGCCGGCTTCTCTGTGCCCAAGTTCATCTCAGATGGACTGATGCAAAGTGGAAAAGCGTTCTGTGGTCTGACAAGTCCACATTTCAAATTTTTTTGGAAATTATGAGGATTGTGTCCTCTAGGGGAAAGATGACTGTTATGGAAGCAAAGTTCAAGAGGCACCATCTGTGTTAGTGCCAATGACATGGGTAACTTACACATCATCAATGCTGAAAGGTACATACAGGTTTTAGAGAAACATATGCTCCCATCCAAGCAATGTCTTTTTCATGAATGCCCTGCTTATTTCAGCAAGACAATGCCAAAGTACATTAATATTATTATTACAGTCAAACCTCAGTTTTCGACCGTAATCCGTTCCAGAAGGCTCTTCGAAAACCGAATTGTTCGAAAACCGAAATCACGCTCTTTTTAATAAAAACATCTTTATTGAACACATCTGTTCACAATGGGACCCCACACGAGGAAGCGTCACTTCCTCGTGTAAGGAAGGCGAGAGGAGTCAAGTGACGCATTCAAGTGCGCTCAGTTTGTTTGAGAACCGAAATTCGGTCGTCAACCGAAGCATAAAAAACTCAAAATTTTTGGTCGAAAACCGATTTGGTGGAGAACAGGGACGTTCGAAAACCGAGGTTTGACTGTATTATTTTATATATTTTTTTAAAGTGGTAAACACAGTGGTAAATATGACCCTCTACCAGCTTTTTTGGAACGTGTTGCAGCCATGAAATTCTAAGTTAATGCTTATTTGATAAAAAACAATGATGTTTGTCAGTTTGATTAATAATGATCTTGTCTTTGTAGTGTATTCAATTAAATACAGGTTGAAAATGATTTGCATATCAATGTATTGTGTTTTTATTGATGTTTAACCGAATGCCCCAACTTCATTGGATTAGGGTTTGTATGGTTGACCTTGTGGTAGTGTCTCAAAGTGAGGCATTGGCATTATTGTGTGTACCTCGATAGCGTGACGTCAATGCCCCGAGACCCTCTCAACTAGCTTAATGTGCATGTGAAGCCCGTTGAACCGCTTTGTGAATAAGGGCACTTGACCTCAACAGAGTTTTATTGGCACCAAGCTCGCACAAATGGCAACAAAGTAATATTTATATTGCTTTGTCCTGAGAACAAAGCAGCAATTAGGTGAGTTTTTCAGTGGAAAATGGAAGATAGATTTGAGAAACAAATGTGCAAACATGACTTTGCGAATGCTGAATTATGAATATGTGTTGGTTCTCGACTCGGATCCCACTTTCAGATGAATGCCTTGGCATTGGCTCACAAGGCACTGAGCTGCAACCATGGTGTAGACATGTGCATCGAGCATGAAACAGTTACCCTTTCTGTCCCTGACCTAATATACTGTATGAGCAGGCCCACAATAAAATCTCAAAAATGCCTGACCGAAAAGATACAGGAAGTGTTCTAATCATTTTGAATAGTCAAGTGAATCTAAATAAATAAATAAGTAAATCAGCCCCTCGCCCCAAACCTCGCAACATGGCATTAATAATAATAACAATAATAATACATTTCATTTGCAAGCGCCTTTCACAACACTCAAGGACACTTTACAACCAAGAGCAAATAAAACCACAGATAAAATATAAACAAAGAAGAGAAAGATTTAAGGTGGGTATGCAAGTCTGAATAGGTGGGTTTTGAGCTGGGTTTTGAATGTGGAAAGAGAGTCAATATTACGAATATTGGGTGGAAGTGAGTTCCAGAGTTTGGGGACAGAGCGGTTGAAGGCTCTGCACCCCATTGTACTGAGACAGGCAGAGGGTAGAGAAAGGTGGAGGGAGGATGAGAACCTGAGTGAGCGAGAGGGAATGGAAATTTGAAGATCTGACAGATAGGGTGGTTGCATCTAACACGAGTAGAACCACCCAAACATTCTCAAGAGTTACTCAGCCATTCTGGTTGTTTGAGTTTTACATTAGAAGATATCAGTTGTGATATCAACCAGGGTCTTTTTTTTTTTCATTTATGAAGTGTATGTTGACGTGTCAGATTTTCCCAGTTATCAGATTTTTCATGGTCATACAAACGACAAATTTGCTGAGAACTGGTGGAACTAATACTCTAATAGACTCGTACAGCATGTTCTCTGCAAAACAGCAGTCAAGGCACGTCTGATCGCAGCTCAGCGGTCCCACGCGAGACTTTTAATTGCACGACGCAGTCGAGTGTGTCCGCTGACATGAGATTTGTTGTTTTCTGTTATTGTTTTTCCTCTTGGCCCACATATCAGTCGAATGTGGTCTGATTATATCTGCTGTCGCATTTTCATGTCTTAAAAGGGAAGAATAATGTTTGAAAGCAAGCCTGTGGAATCAAGGGTTTTTTTTTGCCACTTTGTAGAGGCTGATAGCTCATGTAAATGTTACCTAACTTGAATTTATGGAGCAATACCTGATAGCTTCTTTTTAAGAGAATTGCAATCTTAAGGAGACATATAATGTAAAAGTGACATTTTGATTGTTCAGACATAATTAATTGGGTTTCAGGAGTGTCTTCCCTCCTATGAAGTGTGAAATTAAACAACCACCTAAATCTTGTTGCCTATTTCTGATAGTTTATCTCTTAGGCAGATGGGTGTGTGCTTCCAATAAGCAGCACATCGTTGATTGGGAGAAATGTGGATTTGGCGGTGTGACCCCTGCATGCGCACTTAAGTTTAATGCGGTGGCATGGTAATGAAGTGCTGCCCCCATGAAGGAAAATGCATTCCATGTTGCTCTTGATTCTTCAGGTGTTTAGATGAAAATCAAGTCACAGAACTGTTACTAAGACACCTGGAACTGTTTTCAACGGTCAAAAAAAAGAACTGCCCTGATACCCAAGCCATATTTCTTAATAAAAAAAACAAACAAACAAACAAACAAAAAAAAGCCAGTGTCTGAATCAGAAATATCTAAGTACATACTTCATTGCTAACCATCTCAATAGTTTTAGCATTACAGTACAGAGTAATTCACATTCTGCATGTTGATTTGTAAGTGGAAGTTCTGACAAGTGTTTTGGGGGTTCGGGGGGATAAGCTATCTTATTTTATTAATTAAAAAAAATTGAAGTGAGACAAACTTAAAACAGTGTAAATCTTGAATAATCACATAATTAATGACAGTTAAAATGAAACATTGAAAAAAAATGCAATCTGTTTGGAACAATTTCCCACCACAGTCTGGTGCCTTGAGTACGAAGCAGTCAAATTTCATGTCCATTTGCTTCTGTACCATAATGAAAAATTCACTGTATTCTTACACGTCTGATCAATAAATAAATAATTTCAAAAAGTTAGATCTTTACTAAGCCACAGGTGGTTATTTTCAGACACAAGTGCAACGCTGGCAGCTAAATGTGTGTTTTTGTGAGTGTGTGTGTGTGTGTGTGTGTGTGTGTGTGTGTGTCTGTGTGTCTGTGTGTGTGATGGGGAAGGTGGGGTCGCTCTGTTTTTTTTATCTTGCATCACTTTAACTGAGTTGGGAAGAGGGGAAAAAAAGCAAATTGGTTATAGTTACCAAAACCTAATAATATCCATCCATTCATCCATTTTCTAATCTGCTTATCCTCTCAAGGGTCACAGGCGTGCTGGAGCCAATCCCATCTGACTTGGGGTAGTAGGCGGGGTACACCCTGAACTGGTTGCCAGCAGGGCACACATAGACAAATAACCATTCGCGCGCATAATCACGCCGAGGGACAATTTAGAGTGTTCCATAATCTGCCGTACATGTTTTTGGAATGTGGGAGGAAACCAGAGTACCCGGAGAAAACCCATGCAGGCACACGGACAACATGCAAACTCCGCACAGGAAGGCCTGAGCCGGAATTGAACCCTGCACCTCACCACCATGAGGCCGACGTGCTAACCAGTAGATCACCCTGCCGCCCACCTCATAATAGAATTAAATATCTATGTATTAGTGTTAGTAATTGAAGCATGCCTTCGACTTAAATAGTTCCAGTTTGAATGGGACATAGTTAAATTGCTTAACCAGGCAAGGAGCTGTTTTCAAAAGAAGGAAACTAACCTTCAATTTTAAATGTTAAATACCACTAAAATGGCCTATTACTAGTTCTGCTCTTCTTGTGGACCACATTCACTTATTGTTATATACTTATCCATCTATAAACTGTGCGTATATTTTCAGAATGAGGATAGACAACATAGAAGAGTTGTATTTTTTTTTTTAGTTGCTGTCAAGTGTGATGGAGGTGAGCTTGATATTTACTGAGAACCTTCGTGACTGTGAGT